TGTTACTACACTCCTGAATATTCCAGTTGTGATTTCCGTAAATGGAAGTAGGACTGATGTCATTCTGAACACGAAGTTTGTGGAAACTGGATAGAAAATGACTCATAAACAAAAGTTTCCTAGAATTTGATCAAAAGTACATGCACTTCTTGAATATGAAGATTACTGTATTCGACGTAATGAGCGTCCAGGGCGCTCTCAAAATTAGAAATAGGGGGCTCTTATTAGAATATCATTTTAGTGGCGGAAAAACAGAGTTGAAAGATAAATTTCATGGTTTATGCTGACAGCCTAAAATGTTTATGTACGACAGATATATTTTTCCAGAATTTATTTAATACGAGTGCGTATTATACGTGAATAAATAAGTTTTGTGTACACTGACCAATTGGAAGGGGTGCTAATTGAGATTTTCACTAGCCAATATATCAGCAAATATCACCGTGGGCGCTTATGTATTTCGTCGAATACGGTATTCAACATAACCACTTATTTTTATCATCATCATCATCATCATCATCATCATCATCGAAAATCCTTTTTTCTTTTATTTTTGTACAGTAAAAAGAGGAAAAGAAGCATCATAAATTGAAAAAAATACGTTAAAAAGTACATTTCATTGCAACCTCATTTCAATGGAAGTTTCTCAACTCACAAGAAGATGCGGATGATAAGTGATTTGACAACACAGACATATCTGAACACAGAGTTCTATATCTCTTTGAGTTGCAAATGTACATGTGTCCTGTTATCTTGGAAATCATCCTCAGCAGCCTTTCTTACATTAGAAGCTTCTTTTGCTGATTTCTACGGTCTAAAGTACATGAGAAAATATCCTGATCACCGCTTCTACTTACACTAGGAGTAATCAAAAACTGTCTTTCTAACACACAATACCAAAACAACCTGTCTGCATAAGCTGCTTCTATTTCACCTGTCACAGATACAAACTAAGGACAGGATATTTATTATCTATACAGTAACAAGTATCTTTCTTCCCTTTATCAGATGGCAGTGGTGCAAATGTTTTTAAAACTTCATGTGGTTTGCCTTTTGTGATTATGTCTCTCTATATATTAAGACCTTTTCTGTGAGGAAAATAAAACATATCATAAAAAAATATTATCCCTAATTCTGATGTTATTTTGATGTAAAGGGAAAAAAATTCAATTGACCTCCATTCAATCTTCATCAATTTTTGATTCCCTCCTTTCAGCTAGTTGCCATATTGGCCAAGAACTGGTCCGTACAACAAGAAATAGCATTGATCCAGTCTTTGTCATGACTGTGCCTAACATGCAGTAAGATGGACTGTTGTGATCGTATGGTCCTGCCATATCCCTCCTTTCAGCTAGTTGCCATATTGGCCAAGAACTGGTCTGTACAACAAGAAATAGCATTGATCCAGTCTTTGTCATGACTGTGCCTAACATGCAGTAAGATGGACTGTTGTGATCGTATGGTCCTGCCATATCCCTCCTTTCAGCAAGTTGCCATATTGGCCAAGAACTGGTCCGTACAACAAGAAATAGCATTGATCCAGTCTTTGTCATGACTGTGCCTAACATGCAGTAAGACGGACTGTTGTGATCGTATGGTCCTGCCATATCCCTCCTTTCAGCTAGTTGCCATATTGGCCAAGAACTGGTCAGTACAACAAGAAATAGCATTGATCCAGTCTTTGTCATGACTGTGCCTAACATGCAGTAAGACTGACTGTTGTGATCCTGTGGTCCTTCCATACCCCTCCTTTCAGCAATGTTGCCATATTGGCCAAGAACTGGTCCGTACAACAAGAAATAGCATTGATCCAGTCTTTGTCATGACTGTGCCTAACATGCAGTAAGACTGACTGTTGTGATCGTGTGGTCCTGCCATACCTGTACACTCCCAGGTACAGGGTTATGGATCCTGCATGGCAGTGTCATGTGTAATCATTGCACTTTGTTGGGTAAAAGGTGGCTGAGGACTTTCATATGTAACCGCCACAAGTGCGGGAAATAGTGCATCAATAATTCCCCATTGTGATAGTCATTTGCTTTAAATGAGCTTGTCAATAAAACTACAAAAACATTTATGTTCTTCAGTGCAGCTGGACAAAACAGAGAATACTATCGTGAAAAACAGAAAAATACCCGCACAGGTTAAAAATCAATTGCTATTGTAAGTATGTCTCCATGGGGAATCCGCTGAAGAAATTCAATAATGTTTTTTCACTGTACAAACACATGTTCCATGTTTCTTAAGAAAATCTAAAGAGAGCACTTCTCTCATAATGAGTATGGATCATCAATGTTGATCAATATTATAGGAATAAATTATGATGTCAACAAACATTCAGTACAAACTAATCACTTGAAATACTTTACACATGGCTGTGAAAAGCAATTTTAAACAGACAATATTTGAGTTGGTTTTACGTGTCCTGAAGCGTATACTTTGCAAATATGTGGAAAATATGATTGTATGTCTTGACTAGAACAAAGCAATTATGGTAAATTATGTTCAAATGAAGTGCCCTCTAGTGAAGAGGAAATGTGAACTTACTACTCCGATGCATTTGAAAATGTCATCTTATTAACCTTGGTTGAGTGTCATTTTAGTACAATTTTTTTTATCTTAAACAATCTGGAGGTGTGAGTTGAACCTCCACAAGGACATTATAAAAGTTAATCCATTTGTACACAAAGCATATGGAAATCATGGTGCTCTAACACAAATATAACATGTAATCTCTGGTCTACCGCTAAAATCTTGAATGACCAACTTCCTGCCCAGCTGAATTGGCGATTGAACCACCATGGTTTACCACTGCCAGTAATTGGCACCATGGATGAGCATGGCAAATACACCATGGTCTACCATGGTCAAATACACCATGGTCTACCATGGTCAAATACACCATGGCCTACCACCAAATTCTGTGGTGCCAGCAGCCTACATCAAATCTTCCTGACTACTGAAGAATAGTTGTCTGTGTGTCTACATTAGTGGCCAAGCTGAATGGAGATTGTACCTACACCTACTCTTCTTCGGAAATGAAACACAGAAGTCTATCCGTCTATGTTATCACAGGCATGCTGTTATTAATGCTCATGTGTAGACTCACTGTAAAAAACTGACACTGCATACCATAATTCCTGGTGTCATTCACAAAAATTGCTCTATTACATTCACATAAACTATTTTGAAAGGTTTTTAGTTTAACTCTGGAAATGAAGCCTTCAAACTGCATCTTGGTTCCATAAAACTGTTGTCAGCTGCACTTAGACTAAGAGGCCTTTGTCAACAGATAACCTGGGAGGCCCTTGTCAACAGCTATACTGAGAGGCCCTTGTCAACAGCTATACTGAAAGGCCCCTGTCAGCAGCTATATTGAGGCCCTTGTCAACAGCCATACTGTGAGGCCCTTGTCAACAGCTATACTGAGAGGCCCTTGTCAGCAGCTATATTGAGGCCCTTGTCAACAGCCATACTGAGAGGCTCTTGTCAGCAGCTATATTGAGGCCCTTGTCAACAGCCATACTGAGAGGCCCTTGTCAACAGCTATACTGTGAGGCCCTTGTCAACAGCTATCCTGAAGACCTAGTCAACAACTATACAGAGAGGACCTTGTCATCAGCTACACTGACGCCCTTGTCAACAGCTATACTGAGAACCTTGTCATCAGCTTTACCAAGAGGCCCTTGACTTCAGTACGTTGGAGCACTTGCATCAGCTATGCGAGACCCTTGTCATCAGCCATACTTAGGGGCACATCTTTTCAGCTAGGCAAAGGTCTTCCAAGGTGGTCCTTCAATTGGTGAAAGTCGTCTGAACTTAGCTATGATTGCAGGCAGTTCACATGGGTGGGCCACTCAACCATCTGGGTTTTGAACACACCAAAATCTACAACAACTATTTTATGGAGACTCTTGAACAAGTCACTGCCATTAATCTCTTAGAGCTACCATTCCAAAGCCACCAAGTAATCTTGTTGTTCAATTTCTGAACCCAATAAAAACAAAAGTGCACATAAAATTAGCTGTGACAGGCAAGAGTCATCACTCAACACAAAAAGTAAGTAATTCATCACATTTTCATTGTCAATAGGATTGGGTTAATTCAAAGATATTTCAAACATTTATTTTGCTAACAACTGGAACCACTCATCAAAACAGGAGACACTGACATTCACCCATTTTATCACCGTTCACTGGTGTCCTGTTTCTTGAGTTACAACTCGTTTATTGGTTGGCGCCAGTCTCTTTGTTTCCCTCTGCAGAAAGTCAAGTCACAGGCTGACACAACTATAATTAAGGCTAAATATTTCACCAAATTTGCACATCTACAGGCTAATTTGTCACCAGAAAACAGGAAAGAAAACAGACTTTCATTACTGCTTTTTCTAGCAATGAAAATATCTTCTAGAGAAGCAATATTACACAGCTTGTGTCACTCTGGCTTTGAGTTTTCTGACTTAACTCTCTGTGATCCAACTGTTTTTTCTGGAGCAACTCATGAAGTCAGTGGTCCTTGTGTGACTAAAATACAACAGTCTATTAACAGTCAGTGATTAAACCTTTCCCCTTGGTGTCGTATTAATAAATAGTGATAGTGTCACATTTGCCCTTTGGTGGAATGAAAACCAGAGACAAAGTATTCATTTACACCAGCTGTGCTTTTTGTAGCACCTACATTAGAGGTTGATAAAGCATGCAGAATTGTAATGAGAATCAAATCTCATCTCATGCTCTGCTATTTGAAATGTCTGTCTGAATCCAACTGACCAAATTAATTAGTGCCATATGTTGTACAACATTTTCGTTCCGCACAAACTATGTATAGTTAGGGCCTTGTATATCAGATTTTCATCCCGATATTTTTCAAAGGCACTTATAATTAGTAATATAATTCAATTCACAAACATAAGCTGGAGTCACAGGCCTGTGACCTTCAAAAAATATTCAAGGTTTTACAGGCTTAATACTAATCTACATTAAGAATACAAATTAACTTACCTGATCTGACAAGGAAAATGTACGAGCATTTTTTGTGATATTTATATGTAGCACATGGAATCTATTTTTCTGGCACAACTCGTATGCGATGCCTGCGAAGGATGTGCTGCCAGTCTTGGGAACTCGGTTGTATATGATGATAAGATCATCATTATCTGTGTCACCTAGGTCCTGAAAAATAAAGTAAACATACGTAAGCATATCAATAACGACTCAACCTACCAGCAACACAACAATGTCTCAACAATGCATGCAGTCTTGCAGTAAAACAAATGTTAATTGAGTGAGTGAGTGAGTATGGTTTTACGCCACTTTAAGCAATATTCCAGCAATATTACGTCGGGGGACACCAGAAATGGGCTTCACACATTGTACCCATGTCGGGAATCAAACCTGGGTCTTCGGCGTGACGAGCGAACGCTTTAACCACTGGGCTACCCGACCGCCCCAAATGTTAATTGATATATACCCACCAGAGTAATTTCTGAAAAGGACATTTCCCATGATGACCGACATATATCTATGAAACCATAAATGATAATCTAGCAGTGATAAACACAGTATGCCCCCACATATTCACATTTAAGTGACCTATTTAAATATATACATAGTAATGATAAAAGTACCATGAACACATATTACACAGAGAGAGAGAGAGTATGGTTTTACGCCGCTTTTAGCAATATTCCAGCAATATCATGGCGGGGGACACCAGAAATGGGCTTCACACATTGTACCCATGTCGGGAATCGAACCCGGGTCTTCGGCGTGACGAGCTAACGCTTAAACCACTAGGCTACCCGACCGCCCCGAACACATATTACAAATCTAATTGGCCTCGAAGGGAAACAAGTATATTTCCTAGAACTCAAAAACTGAAACCTTTTGTTAAAACAGAATGCAAATGTAAATAGCCTTTTTATTCTCTGTGAATTATGGTATATGATGTACTGAGAGTTCTTCAGTACAAGATGATTTTCAAAAATCATAGTTGCTGTAATTTCAGAAATGCCATGTTCCTCTCATGAAAATAGGCCTTTAAACACAACTGATGCCAAGCAAAGTAAATGAAGCATTTCAAATATTATTTTTTGAAAAGTGAACATGTTTCAATACAATGAACACCAGCCCATTAATCACACATTTCCTGACAGCGACAACAATACCGAATTGTTACTGAAACTACAAGTCAGAACCTTTCCACTCTAAGTGCCACCCTCAAACACAGCCACCAGATACATTACAAATAAACATTTTTCATTTCCTAATCCCACTGTGACAGAAACTGTGTTCCCGGATAGTCTCCCACAATGAAGGGATCATCCCCTACAGGGAGGGGTTAACCTGATCTGCCCAGTTCCTGATGGCACAAAACACTCCACACCACTCCAGACACTCTGCTGGGCAGGGCTCTGTGTGGTTAACCCTTCATATGGTAAACCATATGGTTGATAGCAATGCCATGAATGAGGAAGATTTCATGCCCCACAGTGCAGCAGGTCCACCAAGGACAGGCTTTGCACATTGCATCCATTTGGGGAATTGACCCCTGAGGACTTGGACCAGCAAACATTTTAAACATATAACTATCCCACTGCCCTGAGACCCGTGAAGATTCCGGGGTAGAATGGGTCTTCAGCAACCCATACTTGCCATAAAAGGCGACTATGTTTGTCGTAAAAGGATCGGGTGGTCAGGCTCGCTGACTTGGTTGATACATGTTATCGATCCCAATTGCGTGAATCGATGCTCATGATGTCAATCACTGGATTGTCTGGTCCAGACTCGATTATTTTACAGACCGCTGTCATATAGCTGGAATATTGCTGAGTGCGGCGTTAAACAACAAACCAACCAACCAATCCAACCCACTGCCCTGATCACAATGCCAGAACAGGAAAGACGGTTGTTTTTCTTTACTCTTTTTATTTTCTTACAAACAGTTAGTCAGAACAGCCAGCCAGTGGGTGTGAAATGATTTACCTCAGAATACTGATGCATCTTGATACAAGTGAAATGATTCATCTCGGTATATGATGCATCGTGACACAAGTGAAATGATTCACCTTAGTATTGATGTATCTTGACACAAGTGAAATGATTCACCTCGGTATATCATGCATCTTGATACAAGTGAAATGATTCACCTTAGTTTTGATGCATCTTGATACAAGTGAAATGATTCACCTCAGTATACTGATGCATTTTGACACAAGTAAAATGATTAGTTTCAGCATATCAATGCATCATGTCCCCATGAAGATCAAGGTTAGAAATGGTCTTCAGCACCCTATGCTAGTTGTAAGAGACCACTAGCGGGGTTGGGTGGACAGACTCGCTGTTCTTGTTGATGCATCACATCCCAATTGTGTAGATTAGAGTGAGTGAGGGAGTATGGTTTACGCCGCTTTTAGCAATATTCCAGCAATAACACGGCGGGGGACACCAGAAATGGTCTTCACACATTGTACCCATGTCGGGAATCGAACCCGGGTCTTCGGCGTGATGAGTGAACGCTTTAACCACTAGGCTACCCGAGGCTATTAGAGCTGGGACGGGTAACTCTGATACTTGGGTCAGGTGAGTCCTGAGTGTGCCCTGGGGTATACCCACCGTACTACCCGGACCCTTTGTTAGTCATGTAATATATTATATATGATGATAACAGTTGAACTCCATGGTTACACAACAAGTTGCTAAATGTTTGCATTTCCTTCTGTCAACTTCAGTGTATGAATGATCAGATTGTTTTGTGTGTGTATCTAAGCAGCTTTTGCCAGGTCTCCGGCAAAACTTCAGCGGGTACCCAGGTAGGGTCAGGTAATAGGATGTCGGGTACCCGGGTAGTAAACTTGGACTCTTCCCAGCCCAAGTGTAGATCGAAGCTGATGATGTCAATCACTGGATTGTCAGGTTAGATTATCTACAGACTGCATCATATACCTAGAAAGTTGCTGATTGTGGCGCTAAACAACAAGTATTTGTCACAGAGTGACGAAATATCCCCCGCCTGTACACCATAGTACCAAATATGAAGACAATCCAGCGATTAGTTCTTGAGATATTGTGGCAACACCGTTTTCCAACTCCAAAAACAGATTTGCCTGCTGTGACCTTGAAAATGGGGTCAAGGTCACCAAATCTGACAGGTGTATGCGGTGTCTGTATATACACTATAGTTCCAAATATGAAGACAATCCAGCGATTAGTTCTTGAGATATCGCGGCAACACCGTTTTCTAACTCCAAAAGCAGATTTGCCTGCTGTGACCTTGAAAATGGGGTCAAGGTCACCAAAACCGACTGGTGTCTGCGGTGTCTGTATATACACCATAGTTCCAAATATGAAGACAATCCAGTGTTTAGTTCTTGAGATTTCGCGGCAACACCGTTTTCCAACTCCAAAAGCAGATTTGCCTGCTGTGACCTTGAAAATGGGATCAAGGTCACCAAAACTGACTGGTGTCTGCGGAGTCTGTATATACACCATAGTTCCAAATATGAAGACAATCCAGTGTTTAGTTCTTGAGATATCGCGGCAACACCGTTTTCCAACTCTAAAAGCAGATTTGTCTGCTGTGACCTTGAAAATGGGATCAAGGTCACCAAAACCGACTGGTGTCTGCGGAGTCTGTATATACACCATAGTTCCAAATATGAAGACAATCCAGTGTTTAGTTCTTGAGATATCGCGGCAACACTGTTTTCCAACTCTAAAAGCAGATTTGTCTGCTGTGACCTTGAAAATGGGATCAAGGTCACCAAAACCGACTGGTGTCTGCGGAGTCTGTATATACACCATAGTTCCAAATATGAAGACAATCCAGTGTTTAGTTCTTGAGATATCGCGGCAACAAACAGGTGGGACGTACGGACGTACGTACGGACGGTCGTGAATACTATATCCCCCGCTTCGCGCTTTCGCGCGGCGGGGGATAACAAACAAATATCGAGGCATTATGAATATTTGCTGGGTTGGTTGTTGGTTGGTTGGTTGGTAGGTTGGTTTTACGCCGCACCCAGCAATATTCCAGCTATATGACAGCGGTCTGTAAATAATCGAGTCTGGACCAGACAATCCAGTGATTGACATCATGAGCATCGATCCATGCAATTGGGATCGATGACATGCATCAACCAAGTCAGCAAGCCTGACCACCCGATCCCGTTAGTCGCCTTTTACGACAAGCATGGGTTGCTGAAGACCTATTCTACCTGACAGCAAGCCATTGTAATGATGCACCGCAATATGTTCATATATCATGATAGATGTTATACCTTACACTGTTTGTTTCTTATACCTAACATTGAAATGATACCTGCATATGTATCCCCAACTTATTCAAGGGTATTACAATGAATTGTTAAACATAAATACCATTTTCCTAACAGCTGTCAAGAGTTGGACCTGAGTTGCTGAGCAGTTATCAGTTGATCTGTGGGTTGGGTGTTTCCTTTGATCATGGCACACAGCTCCTTAAAGAGGGACTAGGCGTTGGCCAACTGACATTCCTAGCAAGTTTGTCTGTCTTTGTTGGTCTTCTAACTAACATGTTATGAAGTGTATCAGTCTAGGACTTAATAATGATCCCCAAAACACAGAGAGAAGTTCCCAGTTTCACGGACAACGCTAATTACAATGTCTAGACCTTGATTGGAAATAAGAACAGAATTGTGGAGCACAGTTCCTTCAGGTGACAGTACTATCGTCATCTGTATGCTATTATCACCATGATATGTGTATTGTATTACAACAGTGAAAGTATGAGCAATTGAAATTGGTTAACACTTGATACACATTAAATTCCTTCAAGTCTGATAGCACATTAAATTCCTTCAAGTCTGATAGTTAAACAAAAAGTTTTTAAACCATTCTAAAATAACTAAACATTCACTGTTTGTAACAATATTAAAAAGAACAACTTCCTGATTCAAGAAAAGATTCTACATAAAATGTTAATTTTCAGTCTACAGTTCACACTAAAGTCTATGACCTTAAAAAATGATATTAAGCTAATAAAGCATTATATGATTTATATCTTAACTTGCAGGAAACATGAAAGTGCCAAAACATCCCTGCTTGTAGCCTCACATGAATCAGGCTTGGTTGTCTGATTAAAAGTCTTGTGGGAAAACCATTATAAACTAATTCGTTGAGTGGTATCTAACGGA